CAACCTTTTCACAGGGGCCACCTAAAGCCATCAGAAAACACAGATGTCTACATTACGATTCGTAATAGTAGGAAAATTTCAGATATGAAGTAGCAGTGAAAATATTTTTATGGGTGGGGTCACCACAACATGAGGACTGTATTAAAGGGTCAGAGCCTTAGGAAGGGTGAGAACCACTGCTCTAGAGCCTTCTATTGCTCCCTGATGACTTCAGGATAAAGATCCAACTCTTTAATGGTCCTTAAAGGCCCTTTGCTATTGGTGTCTTCCATATTCCCAGCCTCATCTGTCCCCTGGGATCTCACCCCAAGCATCACGCGGGGCCGGAAGCTGCTCGTCAGCCCACCAGCATGCTCTCTTCTCCTTTTGGCTGGCCCTTTGGTAATAGTTCTCCACCCAGAAGGTTCTGCTCCAGGAATGTCCACTCCAGCTTTTGATCCTCAGTCTAGAAAGTACTATCTGAAAGAAGACAGCAGTGACCACCTTACTTCTGGGTCTGGTATGGAGGCTCAGCAGCCTCCTTCCCATGGATATGTTAATGAGGCTACAGCATTGTCTCCTGTCTCTCATGCATCTTTAAGTAGAAGGCTCAGGCGGAGGCTCACCAGAGAAGTTGAGCTTCTATACACACAGCACCTGCACGAACTAGTGTATGTGTACATGTGTGAATGCATGCAGCCCCACATGTGAACACATACAAATGCATGCACCCACAGAGAGACGATGAATGGAAGCCTGAAGGAGCCCCAGGATCTCTTCAATACATTAGCTGCTACTATTATCTTCCTTCTCCTTCCCTCTGCCCCCTTCTTCTTGCTCCTTCTCTTCTTGCTCCTCCCCATCTTCACTCCCACACTCTTCCTCAACCCAGTCTTGGGTTGTGCCACCTCCTGGCCCACAAGTTCTGTCCTTTTTGTCTGTCTGCTACCATTTTGCTCTGGCCAGGCAACCTAATTAAAGATCATCATTAAAGTCAATCTAGCACTTCCGAGTCCTTTCAAAATCACTTGCCTTTTTGCTTTCCTCCGAAACCTCCATGATTTTTACACATTTAATTCCCCAGATGCTGTTCAATTCTTGCATCCCAGATTGAGCTAAGCCCCTGAAGCGATTTCAGTAACAGCTCAATTATACTGCTCTCCTTTAATCCTTTCATTCCCATCGCCTCCCAGGAAGTAGCAGGAAGTGGGATGGATCGTGTTCTCTGCCCAAACCTGCTTCTTTCCCCGCAGCTCTCCTCCTAGTCTGTCGTTGGCTTCCTCCCAGTAGCCTGAAAGCCAACTCTCAGAATCACCATTCTCTCCTTCTGCTCCCACTCGTCTTTCCTGCAGCTCTTCAAGATGAGATGTACCCTGATGTGGAGGGTTTGTCTAGACTTCAGTGATCCCAATGCTACCACCCAGCCTTCACCAGCTCCCTTTGCCTGAAATAAGATTCCTTCATGAGTGGTACTCCTGTCTCTAACTCATATTTGTGTCCACACTTACCCACCTGCTCGGTATTCTATCCATTTATCATCTTTATTTTCTATTCATCTGTCCACTCAGCCATATAACTATCAATGCATCTGTATATATACATACATATGTGTCTGTCTGTCTATCTATCATCTATCTATCTATCTATCTATCTATCTATCTATCTATCTATCTATCTATCTATCTATCGTTCATCATCCATCCATCCATCTGTGCCATCCAGCTGCCTACCTACGTATCTACCTCACTCATTCATCTGTCCATCCATCTGTTCATTGTATCTACCTACCCTACTCTCCCTCCAATTGCCCCTCCGTGATTTTTCCAAAACACACACTAGTTATACTTATATAACCTCTGTGACTTCCTACTTCCGAGAAAAAAAAATCTGAATTCTGACTACAGAGTAAAATCTTTTGAAGAATGTTTTTAAAGTACCAATAGCAAGTTCCACTCTAGCACTTTGTCCTGGTATTTTGATAAGTCCCCGAGGTTATTCCACTATGTAACATGGGCTCAAAACTCCATAGCCTAGATGACAGAGTCCCAACCACTTTGATCTGACACTCCATGCCTGCTGTAGTCAAGTCTCTATGCTGTTTCCCAGCCCCTCATTTCCAACCATCTTCCAGTAGCAGCCTCAGAATTCAGGGCTTCCAGAGATAATTTATTATTCAGTCTCCCTCTCTCTTTCTCTCTCTCTCTTACACACACACACACACACATGCACACACACACCACACATGCACACACACACACACCACATGCACAGAGAGAGAGAGAGAGAGAGAGAGAGAGAGAGAGAGAGAGAGAGAGAGAGAGAGAGAGAGAGCCTTCTGATTGGAGCCCCATATCCATTCTTCAAAACCCCAGTACAAATGAAATCTTTTCTCAAGGGTCCCTTTAGCGTAGCATCTGCTCTGTGGTTGCCACCTTACTGAGCACAGTGAGTACAACAGAAGCAGTACCTGCTCCCTAAGAGTTCCCAGGAAGCTGAGAGATGGGGCCTAGACATTAAAGGCAGAATCCATCAGGCAGCCTTCTGTAACAACAAGGAATTTCATGAGACAGTCAATTTCTGAAGAGAAAGTTTTTTGGTTTTGTTTTTTATTGTTTTGGGCTAACAGTCTTATAGGTTTTACTCAACAATTGGGCTTCCAGGTCTCCCGCATGTGTGTGTAGGGCATAGCATATCATGGTGTGGTGTGAATTCATGGTATCGCAGAGCTGATACCCTCACGGCAGGAAGGGGAGAAGGGGAAGAGGAGGGTCTGCAGTCTCAAGAGGCTGTGCTTACAGTGAACTAATAGCCTCCCACCTCTTAAAAAGATTCCCTCATTTCCTAACAGCACCACCCCGGGAACCACTGGGAGACACTCAAGTCCAAACTCTAGCATAGTTCTCAAAGTCACACATGCATCCGAATCCCCAAGAGGGCTTGTAGAGCCAGGGTGCCTGGCCAAACTCCAGGGTTTCTGACTAGTGGCCCTGATAGTTTGTACCTCCAACAAGCTCCTATCAATGCCAGTGTTGCTGGCCAGAGAGGACGCTTGAGAACCGCTGTCAGCCCATGGTCAAGGGACGACTCTGAGGAAGAATGGCACTTGAGCTATACAGGAAGTGGAGGAGGCAGCCAGGGAAGGAGGAGTTGCTAGTGTGGTCCAGTTAGCAAGAAGGGCACCAGTGTGCAGGTCCCAGAAGGAGGAGCCTGTCATGAAAACAGAAGGGACCAGAGTAAAAGTGCAAAGGGTGCACGGCTCCTGTAACTCCAGCAGACGGATGCTCTGGGTGCATCTACATTGTTGACCTACATGGTCTCCTCTTTAATTCTTTTTCTTTTGCTTTGATCTCAACCTCTTGACAGGGAACCCCTTCAAGGCAGAGTCTGTGTTACAGACGCCTGTAGAAGAACACAGCCCACTCCGAACCGGCTGTGGAATCAGTGCACAGGGAACCTAGCTAGGCCTGAATTTTACCAATTCAGATCTTTCCAGAATGTCAGCAAAGGGTGGCTCGTTAGTGTTGCATCCTCCTTATGTTTTCTTAGGCAGTTGCATACTCACCCTGACAACGTGTGTTTCCAATTATTCCCCTGTAAAGCCGGTGCTGCTGGTCTGACCACTGCCTCTATCCCAAACTCTCTTCTCCCAAATATTTGCTGCTTAGATTTTCCAGCCCATTTGGTGATAGAAGAAGAAGAAAACTCCTTGAAGTTAAATGGCTCCTCTTCTCTTACCTTCTGAAATTCCAGGAACTGGGGGAAGGTGAGAGAGGAACATCCCAGAAGCCCATGGGGCTGCTCTCTACAACACCTCTACTGTGTCCTGGTGAGGAGGATGCAGTCACAGCCGGAGTCAGCACTTAACCTTCCTCACAACCTGACCCAGCGACTGCATTTCCTTACTTAGCCTGCTTCCCAAGGAGCCAGTCATTAAGGACAAGGGTGGAGCAAGGCAGGGTTGGGGTTCTCTGGAGCTAGTGGTAGGCCTTGTTTACAATATTTCTTTCCATAATAGAAAGCACAGTGAGAGAAAGATGGGGACTTGAAGAAGGAGAACCCCAGCTCAGGTATGCCGTGTGTCAAGATGGGGTCATCGATTGCATTGAGTTTAGGGTTTTATTTGCCTTTCTCCTTACAGAAGAGTATGTACCCCTTTTCCTGAACCCCACCGAGGGATCTTTGGGAAAGTAGAGACGAGAGATTTTCGATTGTCTCATTAGCTTGGAAAGCAGTGATACACAGAGATCCTCAGACATCAGATCACATCGGAGTGCCTGGAGGGCTTCTTAAAGCCCAAATTGCCAGGCCCAAGCCCAGTGCTTCTGATTCTTCAAGGGTGAAGGATGCATTTCCGATAAGTTTTCAGGGCATCACAGCATGGCATCCTGTGTCATCACCAGCTAGACCCCAGCTAGAGTCAGTCTGATAGCTCATCAGTCACTATCGGACAAAGGCTTATTTATCCTGTAGGTGCCTGTATTTCCCTTTGCCCCTGCTCCCACATGCAGACTCTGAACCCCCCAGGCCTACCCGTCCCAGCTCTTTCAAGCATGGTCATTGTCACACTGGTTTTTAGGAGGTCAGGAGCTCCCTAGGGAAAGACAAAGGTGTTAAAAGCCCAGGGGACTCTGTGGGTTAGTGGAGGCAGGTTAGCAGAGAGGAAGTAGCTTCTTCTGTTTTCCACTGCATAGACCTAGCAACCGTGAAATATTTCAGAGCAATCTGTTTAGTATTTCTCAGCCCGTTGAGATAGAATCTTCCCAGGAGAGGGAGGGAACCTGATGAGTGCTTCATTCAGGACGAGCATGGATGGCCCAGGACAGAGACAGAGTCAACCACCCCAAGGGCTAGCTCTGGAGCTGCTTGCTCTACCACCATGAACTATCGCTTCACTCCTCTGGCCTGTTTCCATAGTTGTAAGAAGTGTAATAAGATTGACTTTGAAGGTGACTGTGAGGGTCAAAAGTGAGTGACCACGTGAACTGACGTGAAGCCAACCTGAGCCATCTTGGTTCCCACAGGAAGGACCAATACCTCCTCTCGCCCGTGAACTGTTGGTATCTGGTACTGCATCAGACCCGGCGGGAAAGCCGAGATCATGCCACCCTCAATGACATCTTCATGAACAATGTCATCGTCCGCCTTTCCCAGATCAGTGAGGATGTCATCAGACTCTTCAAAAAGGTGAGTTGCCCTATCTGCCCCAGGTGTCTTTCCCAGACTGGCCATGATGATATTCTACCGTCATGGTGAGATGTATTTTGGAGACAAGGGACCAGAAAGGTAGGTGTTGAATGATACAGGGGGCAGAAGGGTTCACCATACTCTCCAGCCCAAATTTGACCTCTGTATGTGCCTTTGAAAGACTGTGTGTACTCAGCCACTTTAGCGCCTACGGACACAAGAGTAAAAGCCTTTGCGTAGCTAGGTATGTAGTATATGTTTATGCTAGGCAATCTGGAAAAGTGGAGGTGGGCATGGATACAAAAATTTAAATCAACAGGGACTGGAGAGATGGCTCAGAGGTTAAGAGCACTGACTGCTCTTCCAGAGGTCCTGAGTTCAATTCCCAGCAACCACATGGTGGCTCACAACCATCTGTAATGAGGTCTTGTGCCCACTTATGGCCTGTAGGCAGACATACAGGCAGAACATTGTATACATAATAAATTAAATCTTTATTTAAAAAAATTAAATCAACAGAAATTTTACCAGTCAACCAGTTTTTTTTTTTTAACAGACTTAATTCACTTTTATTTTCCTTGTATAAAAACCCTTATGTGGTGGCTACAGCTGGAGCCTGGGTCCTCTGAACAGAGACTCTGGTGTGGTTTTTCACAAGATGGTCAGTAAATTCCTGATAAGGAGACTTGGTGAACACAGTCTCTTTCCAGAGGTCGGGGGTCAGGTAGCTGTAGGTCTTAGAGATGGCATCAAAGGTGGCTTTGGCCAAGTTGCCCAGGGTGGCAGTGCAGCCCCTGGCTGATGTGTAGCAGTCATCAATGCCAGCCATCATCAGTAGCTTCTTGGGCACAGGAGCGGAGACTATGCCAGTGCCTCTGGGGGCAGGGATGAGACGCACCAGCACAGAACCACAGCGACCTGTCACTTTGCAAGGAACAGTGTGGGGCTTGCCAATCTTGTTCCCCCAGTAGCCTCTCCGCACAGGGACAATGGAAAGCTTGGCCAAGATGATGGCCCCACGGATGGCAGTGGCTACCTCCTTGGAGCACTTGATACCGAGACCTACGTGACCATTGTAGTCCCCAATAGTGACGAAAGCCTTGAACCTGGTCCGCTGGCCTGCCCTAGTCTGCTTCTGCACGGGCATGATCTTCAGAAGCTCATCCTTTAGGGAAGCTCCCAGGAAAAAGTCAATAATCTCAGATTCCTTGATGGGCAGGGAGAACAGGTAGATCTCCTCTAGGGACTTGATCTTCATGTCCTTAACCAGGCAGCCCAGCTTGGTGACGGGAATCCACTCCTTGTCTTCAGCTTTACCTCCGCGAGCCCCACGGCCTCGCCCTCGGCCATGGCCTCGCCCTCGGCCATGGCCCCTCAGACCGCTGCCTGCCGAATCCTCCGCGGAAGCCGCCACGGACTCCTAATCCTGGGCCCCCGGGTCCTCCGGACCCTCCCGCTGCACCGGCGTCATCCGCCATTTGGTGTTTTCTAGAAGAAGAAGAAGAAGAAGCCAGTCAACCAGTTTTAAAAGTCTAAGAATTTCTTTATGTATATAGATATGTATACCTATATAAATATATTTCCCTCTAGTGCCTCTAATTTGTGCATTTTCTAGAGTGCATGCACCTCCCTCCTGTGTAAGATCATACTGTGTATTTGAGGTGACTGCCTGCTTATGTCACCTACCAAACTTAGGTGATGCCCTCTGTCAGAACTTTCCCACATTGAAAATAAGCTTCTGTCTTGAATGCCGTCACAGCATTTTGTTATATAGACTTACCCCGACCTACGTGCCTGGTGTCTCTCTGCTGAACACTTCGGTAAACGCCGTTCTTTTACTGTTACCAAAAGCCCCACTGTGAGCTCCCCCCACGTCCACTGTTACTCAGGATCAGTTTCCGCAATGATAGGCTCAAAAGTTGGTTTACTTTCCAGGCTTTGGTGGAATACTCCATTGTTAAAAGAAAGGTTTACCAAGGGAAATATCCAGGAGCCAAGTGTGAAGAGAGCCATCGCTTTTTATGTCCCCTAAAGCCTTTGTCCTATGCGTCTTACCAATGGAGGCTCTATGTAACTGTGCAAAGAATTGAATTTTTATAAAATGGGTGTGCCATTTAGCTTTCTCTTAGTCTGTTGAGCGAGGCTGAAGTTGGCTTCTTTGGGGGGCCCGTGTGAAGGTCAGGCATGCTGTCCTGTGGGGAAGGACCTTAGCAGGATGCTAGATTCCTTAATATTTTAGAAAAGAAATAATCCTGTTACTATCCCTTTAAAAACCCAAGTGTCCTGTATATCTTCAGGCTTGTGACTTATACCTGTGCCTCAGTTTCCTCATTTGTGAAATGCTCACAGACCATCCCGCTAGCGTTAGACAAGATACGCCATTCTTGTGTGATCTGTGTATCTTTGGGTTCATGACTTACATTTTCTGTGCCTCAGTTTTCTCTCTTGTGAAATGGGTAAAAACACCTTGGAGGGGAGTGGGCAACACAGGCTAGCCTGGCCTTGCTCTGTGAGAGCTGGCTGTGACCCTAGGACAGCAGCGGTTGTCACTCAGTGTAGCTGAGGTACAGTTGGCTAGACACACAAGGAAGGGGACAAGCTGCTGACTTAAAATAGAATCACCCTCCCAAGGTCTGTGCTTGGATGGTCCCCTTTGAGGGTGGCGTCCACAGAAGAGCTGTGGCTGCTGCCTCATGACCTCCCACCACACAGAACACTTCTGGTTTCTTCCTGAAGCCGTGTTTATGAAATGTGGTCTGAGTTTAATATTTGCATAAGCAAACATAATTAGAACAGTAAATACAGTGCCAGAAAAAAAAATCTATCACCCCCTAGTGCTTCGCAGAGGCCAGCCAGCAAGCATTAGCTGTCTGCTGCTTTGGAGTCCTGATCCTGGCTGGGCCCCCGCCCGCTGCCGCTGTGACAGTCTTGCCTGGGTGGGAATGACTCAGGGAGAAAGGGTCGGCAAGGCCTTTAGGAAACGAAGGCTGTCTTTTCCCGAGCTGAGCCCTGGGACAGGGAGATAAATCTTCACAGTTCTCATTTAGCCTGACAGCAGCCTGACTTGTGATGGAGGTTAACAGGGTGGAAAATAATGAAAAATGTCCGCAGCTGAGCTCCTAGCTGCCTTGTTACCAGGCCCGTCCTGTAGAACAAAGGAACTGACCTGGCCCCTGTGGGCTGGGAGAGGGTTGCGGACAAGCCTGCCTGGCTGATTGAGCCCAGTGAGGTTCCTTTGTTTTGCCCGTATTAGAGATAACTCAGAGCTAAACCCGTGCTCCTTATATAGGGAGAATTCTTGTATCTATATCAACCACTTCAGGACTAAGTCCTGGGAGAATGGGGGGCACACCCCATTTTACGTAGATGGGAGAGAGTCTTGGGCAGCTTCAAGGAGAACCTACGTGTGGCTTCAGCCCCTTACCATCAGTGAGGCAAGGCTTTTAGAGTTTGTCTCTGTACTGCCTCACTGACCACCTTGGCAAAGTCTCTTTAAGCCTCAGTTTTCTTATCTGGGAAGTGGGTCTGGTACAATGCTCACACTGGGGAGCACTTGAAAGAGCAGAGGCAGGTGAAGTCCCACCAAAAGGTATGGCACTCCGAACATACTCAAGAAATGGAAGCTCACTAATGGTCCCTCGCATGGAGGCGTGTGGCCAGTATGGTATCCTAGGGCTTGGTGGGGTGTTTCCTGACCACCCACCCGGTCTTACCGTAACAGTCGAGCTGCAGGAGGCCAGGAATGGTTGCTGTGGGCTTGAAATAGTTGCCCTGCCGGCCATCTTCTCACTTGATTCTCACACTTTCAACATTCTCTACGCTCCCTTTCACGGAGTCTGGATTATAGTTGTTTGTTTGTTTTATTTTGATTTGGTTATTTTTAAATATTTTTTTATTTTATGTGCACTCTGTGTGTGTGTGTGTGTGTGTGCGTGCGTGCGTGTGTGTGTGTGTGTGTGTGTGTGTGTGTGTGAGAGCCAGGTGCATGCAGTGCCTGTAGATGACAGAAGAGGGCGCTGGATCCTCTGAACAGGAGTTACAAGCAGTGTGAGCCATAACATGGGTGCTGGGAACTGAACCTGGGTCCTCTGCCAGAACAGAACGTGCTCTTAACCACTGAGCTACTTCCTAGCTCATGGGGACTCTATTCTAAGCAGAAATGATAGCATTGAAAATTCTAAAAACTTAGGTCACTTAATGTCACCCAGCTGCTCGGGCCACTGAGTCATCATGAGTTCATCATAAGTTCAAGGCCAACTCAGGCCACAGAGTGAATTCGTGACTAACCTGGGCAACTTAGAGGATCCTGTCTCAAAAAAACAAAGGAGTGTAACTGGCCTGTCAGAAATTAGGATCTTCCAAAGAGATACTTGTATCTCTCAGTTCTGACTATCAGATCTTGATACAATGGACCTCAGAGAAATAAGGTTTTCTCCAGGAACTTCATGCTAGCAAAAGGAAAAGGTAGGAGTGTGTGCGTGCGTGTGTATGTGTGTGTGCACATGTGTGTATATTTGTTTCCCTGTAAGATATTTCACACAGGTATAGCAACCTGTCAGAATATCTTTTCAGGATGAGACTGAGTCCAGGGAAAGATGGGTGTGTGGGCCCGACCACGCCTTGACCAGGACGTGTCAAATGTGCAAGTCCTTTGCCCTCTATTTAAACTTCATCTCACTTCAGGGCCCCAAAGACAGACTTGAGGGTTTTTATGTAGCTTTATCTGTTTTCTCAATGTAGCACTGAATAAATCTCCTCCTGTTTTTTTTTTTTGAGGGGGGGGGCTTTCCACTTTTAAATTGGCTCTCTTTATTGGTTTATTGAGAACGGGTTGCTGGACCTGACTTGGGCATAGCATGTGATACCCTCACCCCCAGTTCGATGACAGATGGGCTCGGGATGTAGCTCAGAGACTGAACATTTGACTAGTGTGCATGACTAGCCCAGCATTCAATCCCCAGCACCAGGGAAAGGTAGTTCAGAAGCTCATGGAGGTGGGC